TTTGCACAGCCCTAAGGAATATGTACCGAGAGAACAATACACACATTGAATTAATAGAGGGTAATGAGGTCACAAATTTAAAAATATAGATTGGAATATAAGATAATGTTTTATCAAGTATATAAAGTAAAAATTGATACATTTTCAACATAATTATAATATATATATATATATATATATAAAACTATAAGCCTTCTTTCTTCTATTGGGGATTCTTTTGTAGGGACGAAATTTAAACCGTCAATGTACCAAGCCCTTTAAATAAAAGAAATTGAGTTGGGTGCAATTGGAAGGTTAAAGCAAATTGGTTGATCTGCAAAGCGATGTTCGGAGATGCTCATGATTTATTTGGGTCATATCCACTTTTACAGGTGGCGGAAAGCGACATTGAACACCATTCATGTATGCCCAACATCATCCATCTAATCAAAGTTTTGGTGTAAAGATTGTACTTCTTCTCCCTTTTTTTCGGTGGCAAAAGGAAATCGAAGTACAAAAGGCCCAGGCCCGAGATACAAAACAATTCCAGACTTATGCCACACTTTTTTTTCCCCCTTCTTTTAATACAATTATTGTTATTTTAATTAGATTGTTGGATTTAAATATTTCGGGTCTAATTAAGATTATTTATTATAATATTTTCCCCACTATCCACAAGGTTCCAATCCTCAATCTTGTTCAAAAAGATCATTCGTTTACATGCTGTATTAAATTTTCTTTTATTTAACTATCACTTCTTTTTTATAAATAGACGAGGAGATAACATTTTACACGCCTTCCACTTTAAAGGATCAAACTCCTAGAATTTACTTATTTGCAACTGGATAGAAGATAATTTGACTTAACCGAGTATAGAGGAGAAACTGTTATTGGGTCTGAGCAGTCTCTCTTTTCATCCATTAAATCTTTTTTTCTATATTTCTCTGTATTATTAGTATCCAACTCCCCAATGCCATGGAACGAAACTGAAGTAATGGTAAAACTAAAACATGCTGCTTCTTCCTGGAAGTAGATTACATTAATCAAACATGAGCAAAAAAGGCACATGAGGGAAAGACAAGAACAAGGCTAGTTTACTTTCCCTTGGCATTAGATCCACCCCAAATGGATTGCCAAAACACAGGCCAATTCTTCTGGGCCTCAGTCCAGCCCAAAAGTGAGCCTTCCCTGAGTGGGTCCCAGCTGGAGGACACAATCCCATAGCTCACTCCCAACAGTGCGGACCCGAAGAAGAAGAAGGACACAATGAAGGGCACCCAAGTGGGCACATCAATCTTCAGCCCAACCTTGAGGTAGTAGAAGAATGGGAAGAACATTAGCCCTATTGCCAGAGGAATCCCAACTGAGAATCCCATCCTGCTTATCATCCTGTTGGTCACTACTTCAGGTATCACACCTCGCTCTCTCGCCAATTCTTCCTCTTCCTCCTCATCTTCTTCTTCGTCGTCGTCGTCGTCGGATTCTCTTTTCAGCTTGTTCTTCTTCTTGCTCTTCTCCGGCGAAGGTCCGAATCCTTTCGGACTCCTCAACGTAGCGCATATCGGTGCAAGGCGTGAGAATCGGGAAGATTCTGGCATTTGAATCGGGAATTGAGGCTTCACTGTGATTTCAAATTGATTGATAACTTCCTGGAGAGAATCACAGACAGAATTGAACGATCGAAACAAAACCTAATTCCTGAATTTAGGAATAAAACCGGAAATGAAAGTTAAAAAAAAAAACCGTCCGAAACGGAAACCTTGTGAAGTAAGTATGGATTGGAAAATGCTGACGCAGATGCGGCCATAGGCTTGTGTGGGGGGCGTTGTCAGGCAAAGACGAAGGGAAGAAAAGACATGAGAGGAGAAGCTGTGTTGAAATGCTACTCAGCACGCAAGGATGGAGATGGAGTTCGCGCTCCACACAGATTACCAAACGGATAAGGTTATGATATGGGTCCTGGATTCCCTCTAGGATGCATCCCCCGCCTTGAAACGTCGACGTCTGCTGTTTTAACACTACACAAAAAGTTTCTCTTTAATAATCTGGTAAATGTTAACGGCATCTTTTTGCTCAGAAAAAAAAAAAAATGTTAACGGTATCTGAAATTGGAGTACGACGGGAAATTAGACTGCCATTTTTTAAGGCAAAATTTAACTTTAGGGATACAGTTTTTAATGGAAATAACAGTTTAATTTAATTTCTATAATTGCTGGACTAAAAAAAATTATAAAAACTGAGTATTATATAGTTAAAATTTTAAAAAATAAATCAATATAAAAAATATAAAAATTAAAAGTCATGTTTTCTTTTAAATAAAATTCTAAATTAAAATTTCAACTAACACGAAATGCTTTAGTGGAAGAGGTTATTTTTCATGATGTGATAAATTAATATTTAAATTTTTATTAAGATAAGTATCTTATATTTAATATTTAACTACACCTCGAACATAATTATTTTTTATAAAAAAATTACATGTGAGCACTACAAAAATGTGAGAACATGCTTCCACGGTTAAAAAAAAGGTAAAGGTGTTTTGGCTCACAAAGAATCAAAGTTTGTTATAGCCTCACACTTGATTTAGTTGAAGCAAACTAGAGCCTTTTGTCTTAGTGTCTTGCTATGTGTGAAACCCTTTCAAATCATATTTGAATTGGCCTTTAAAAAGCATCCAATGCTAAGCACAAAAAAAGTGCTTTTTTTAATATTTTTCATTTTCACACGTTTTCAACAACCATGATCATTTATTTGAGTGTTGTTAATGATTTTAACAACCTTAAATTATATATAAGGCTTTATTTAAATGAGTAGATAATATATTTATTAAGTATTAAGTGATTTGCATTCTTTACTAATATTTCCATCAACTTTATGAAAAAACTTTCAAAAATTTATAAGCTTTCATTGTTACATATTACTTGCTAATAAATTTCTCATATTATTTTTTATAAATAGGTAGGAGTGTTCATGAGACAAAATGAGACTATGACATTCCTATTTTGTGTTTAATCTAAAAAATAATTGAGCTTGATTTTTTTATCTTTATCTTGTCTCGTTAAGATTTGGAATGTAATCAGGACATCCTAATAAAGCAAATGTGAGAGAGAAACTTTGATAATAACATTTATTGAAATGTTAGATTACACAACTTTTAAGTAAAACTAAAATAACAAGAGTAAATAAATTACAATAATTTAAGTTCAATTATCAAGTTACATTAATGATAATTACAAGTCCACAAATAAGACAATCAATAATAGGCATAAACTCATGTGAGGAAGATGCAATCGTGGGTGGCAAATAATCTAACCTTGTACATTAAGGAAGTGATGAGATTTTATAGAATTGATTTACGCCATCATCTATTATTTGAATAGTAGATAATTTGGTTTCAGCCAACATCATCAATTGTTAGCGAAGAATGCTATGACAATTAACCAATAATAAAGGGAAAAAGACGCAGCTAGATAAGCATTGCATAACGTTGAGCTTTGCAGGAATATATCTTCACTATTATAGATTTCATGAACCACGTATATATTTGGAGAGAGAAGAGACAATGTTTGAGTCGGCGATGAAAATTGAAGAGTGAAGGCTGGACGAGCGAATCATACACTAAACCTAAATGAAAAAACATATATGCATTATATAAGGGATGGAACGATGCATCCTGAGGATGATCCCTAGTCTTGTTGCCTTTTTTTAACTTCATTTCGTAAAGTGATGTCCTAATTTTTTTTTACGGCCCACGATAAATTCGTCCCTACATGACCGGGATAGACATAGACAACCAATATGGGTACAACCTCAAATATCTCTATAAATAGGTACAAATGTAGTAATTAATTATAGCATGTGTTTGGTTTTCTGTCGATCAAACATTAATTTATCAGTTATCACAAAAAGAAAATTAATTCATTAAATGTTCATTTAGCAAAAATTAATTTAATAAAAGTTAACTATTGCAATAAAATTTGTCTTTGAATACATTTTTTAAAATTAATTTAATAAATTGAAAGTTGTTTGAATTATGTATGATGAAAAATTTTGAATATATAATTACTAAATGAACATTACTTTTTATGATTTATAATTTATATCATACAAAAACTTCATATTAGAAATGTTTAAAAAATATATGTAATAAAAATTTTAAACAATATAAAATTCAATATGTTAAATAATAAGGATAAAAATTCAAAAATTGATATACTGGATAAAAATTTTATAAATAGTCAATATGCATTAATATTAAAAATTAATTAAAAAATAATCAGGGGTAGCATGATAATATGAAAAAATATATACATATTTTAACTCTCTTATTAATACCCCAATTTCAAATGCACATTTCAAAAATTACTCCAAATTTCATTCATTAAATATACTTTCATCCACCTTCTTAAAGCACTTTTGAATCGTGATTTCATAAAAAAAATCTAAAAAGTTGCAAAAATATTTTTTGAAAGCTTAAAGTAAGTTACCTAAATGCAAATTAACCATTTTTTTTAAAATCAATAATATTAAAGAAATGAATTAATCAATTTTCATTTGTACAGAAAATGCCGATGCAAGGCCACACATGTCTGATTGAAGCTTCGACTTTAAAGAATGACCAGGGAATTATAGAGGCTTAGAGCCACGAAAATCGTGAGGACCAGAATATATGACAATTTGCTAAAAACAAAAATTGAAATCCCATTTCTGTTGATGGTGTTATTCTATTGGGTTAAAGGAAAAACTGCATTTTCTCCTTTTTCCCCCTCAATATTTTATTTTTTATTAATTAATAAATTCTTATCAACGTTTTCATCAAGGGCAAGTTGATATTACCCTACATTGTCATTTTGAAATGAAATATATATAATTTAATTTGTACATTTAAAATTAAATAAATAATGAATTATCCAACTCATTCTCTCTACAAATTGCATCTGCGATCTTGTTAATTAAATATGCTTTTCTCTGTCCCAAAAAAAAAAATACTTCAAAAGTTGCGTGGGTGTGTTTGCGTCGTGTGTACACACGCATATTATATTTAATTTAAGCGTAATTTCTTTGTTGGAACGCCAAAATCCAAACGCCAAGAAATGCACTTCGAAGCTTTCTCTGCTCTTTGCGAATGAAGAGCCTGTTGTAGTGATTTCGTTTCAAAGCAGAATTTTATGGTAAATGCAACGCGATAGTCTTGATTATGGCTTTAGCTTCGTTCTCATTGTCTGCCTTCTTCACTGTTATCAAGTTGCTCTGTCTTCTAACTGTGTCATTATCGCCTGTGCAAAACCTCAAGATATCTTTCCTTTTGTTCTTCCAATCTTCGAGCTCTCTAATACAGCAACAAAAATAGTTACAGTTCTTAATGGTTTTTGTCATTTCAGATTCTTCAGCAGTATTTGAGTAGTTTCATTTGTCCAGCTGAAATTGTTGAACGTCAAAGGAGTACGAAGCTGGGCTGATTAAAGTTGTTAAAATGCTTCTGAGAAAAGGAAGCTAATGCCCAGAACACTATCGTTTATTAACTCGAGGAAGAGAAGATATCGTTAAATTTAAAATAATAGTTGATGATGATCCTATTTGCCTTTTATTTCTCCACCATGAGAATCTATTTCAATTTATTATTATGATGTGCTTTCATGTAGAACACATTGTTATACTTTCCTAGGAAACTAATGAAGTTGGCTGAAAGAAAATAAGTGGGTGGGACCGGGGGAACTGTGGAATAGAATCAAAATCTGTGAACTCTCTTCCCCTGATTGATCTATGTGTTAATTGACTTATCAAGTCCTTAGTTAAAGATCCTGAATTCTAGAGGTAAATTTTTCTATTTAGCTATGATGCAATTTCTTGATTATCTCTTTTTACAGGTCCTAAATTCCGTTGGATTATGAAAGGGTTGGTTGAAAGGTACAAAAGATGGAACCGGGTGCATCCAACTTATGGAGCTTTTTGGGGGATTGGCGTGGGCATAGGTTGTGGTATTGGTTGGGGTCCTGGTTTTGGCCCTGAAGCCATCGGCTATGTTGGAGCTGGTTGTGGCATTGGATTCGGTGTTGGATTCACTCTGGCTGGCCTAGGTATTGGTCTTCCAGTCAACTTTATCTTCCAAGTTCCTTATAACGGTAATAATTTATATTCTCAAACTACTGCACTAACGAAATTGTTCAAAACCTGTATTTTGCTTGATATGCACAAAGAAGTTGTATGGTTTATTGTTATCTTACATTTCCTGGCATCTTAGCTTTTGTGATGTTTCAGATGTAATTCAAAACAGTTCAATCCTATGTCTTTAATATCTTGGATGGCAACAAGCATGTTAGACACTAGACTACTATACTATGAATCACAAGCTTCTTGTATAATTCCTGACCTCTAATATACCAGGACAATAATAGTGTACCCTACAATTCCAACATGTCTTTTACACTAAAAATGTAATATTCCTAGTCTTTAACCCATTGGACCTTCCCCCCTCCCCTTTTTTTGGGATCCAGCTATTATGGCAACAAGAGGCTCTGCATTGAAGTTGGCACGGTCAAGTAGTCCTCTTTCAAAAAATCATTTTGCAGGAGATGGCTGGACTGGAATTGCACCTCATGTCTCCGAACTGCTTAGAGAAGCAAGTGAGAAATTCTCTAGCTTTAGGCAACAGCATTTATCAGTTAAGGGCACCGATCTTTTTGCAATGAAAAATAGCCTCCCATTACTTGCTACATCTGCTTGTGAAAGTTTTCGAGCATTGAATACTCAGTTTTTCAGCTTGCGCAGAGGTATCATTGACAATCATTTTTCTGTTTTGCATTGATTGACGAGTTTTGCTTCTATTATTTCGCTTTTATGGTTTCCCTTTCCTTTCCTTTTCTATTTTTCTTTTGTTGATCATTCTTATAACATTTCAGACTGAGACAAATAATTAACTTTTTTTCCTAGTCCAATATTTCCCTTTTGGCACAATGCTCATTTGTCCATTTTCAAGCTAGAGTAAATAAAATTACATCAATGCCGATCCTTGTTAAGAACTAAGGAAAGCAAATAAATTTATTAAATAAATTAGAGCAAGAATCTCACTCTAAAAATATTTAATAGCCAGAGTAGGAGAATCTCCAAGAGAAATCGTATTTTATTTTCTGAATGTCTAGCTATGATAGAAGCTAGTCCATTTATAATGCCGGAATTTGAGCAAAATAATCAATAAATAATAAGAAAATATCCCAACATATCTGGGACAATAACTGACTCAAACAGAAATTGACTCAAACAAACTAAACATGATCAAAAGTTGATCCATTTATTTAGCCAACTAAACTGAAAATGAATTAATTAAATAAAAAGCAACTTAATTCTGCAAAACTAACTCTAACTTCCTCCCCTTTCTTCTCTGATAAGTCAATGGTGGACATTGATGTTGACGCAGCATGCTATCAGTACCTCCTCCTGAAAAATAGACTTGTCCTCAAGTCGAAAAGTGGGAAATTGAATGGCTATTAAATCATAGTCTTCCCAGCTTGCATCTTCAAGAGGACGGTTATCCCATTGAATTAAAATTTCCAGAATACCTCCTAGTGTCCAGTATTGATTCAGTACCTTTGAGGGAGTGAGGAGGAGCTCCAGATTTGCAGAAAGAGGTAAAGGTGCTGGTGGTGAAGATGGTTGTTGCCCATGAGCAGGCTGAAGTAGGGAGACATGAAAAATAGGGTGCACCTTAGACTCAAGAGGCAAGTCAAGCTCATAAGCAACTGTTCCAATACGCCTCACAACTGTATAAGGTCCAAAAAATTAGGGGGACAATTTTTCATTCTTTCGTCTAGCTGAGGACTTTTGGCGATAAGGTTGAAGACGTAGAAAAACTGCATCCCCTGGTTGAAATTGAAGGTCCTGCATATGCTGATCTGCTTGTGCTTTCATCCTATCTTGTGCTTTCTTTAAGTTATCATGTAGTACTTTGAGCATGGCGTCATGTAGCTCCAGTTGCTCCTCTAAATCTGCAACTAATGTTTCTCCCTTAACATAAGGGCACAAAGGAGGAGGATCACGCCCATAAACCAATTTAAATGGAGTAGTGTTTGCTGAGGAGTGAAAGCTGGTATTAAATGAGAATTCAGCCTAACAGAGAAATTTACTCCATAATTTAGGTTGCTCACAACTGTATAAGGTCCAAAAAATCAGGGGGACAATTTTTCATTTTTACGTCTAGCTAAGGACTTTTGGCAATAAGGTTGAAGACGTAGAAAAACTGCATCCCCTGGTTGAAATTGAAGGTCCCGCCTATGCTGATCTGCTTGTGCTTTCATCCTATCTTGTGCTTTCTTTAAGTTATCACGTAGTACTTTGAGCATGGTGTCACGTAGCTCCAGTTGCTCCTCTAAATCTGCAACTAATGTTTCTCCCTTAACATAAGGGCACAAAGGAGGAAGATCACGCCCATAAACTGATTTAAATGGAGTAGTGTTTGCTAAGGAGTGAAAGCTGGTATTATATGAAAATTCAGCCCAACAGAGAAATTCACTCCATAATTTAGGTTGCTTATGAGCAAAGCATTGTAAATAGGTCTCCAAACAGCGATTTACTACCTCGATTTGGCCATTGGATTGTGGGTGATAAGCTGTACTCATGTTTAAGTGTGTCTGGCTCAAGCGAAAAAGTTCTTGCCAAAAAGCACTTAGAAAAATGGTGTCACGATCTGAAATGATTGATCAAGAATACCATACAACCGTACAATCTCTTGACAAAATAAACCAGCCACATTTTTTACAGAATAAGGATGTGACAAAGCAATGAAATGGTTGTATTTATTGAGCCGATCAACCACCACCAAGATAACATCAAAACCCCTAAACTTTGGGAGCCCTGTGATAAAGTCAAGAGATATGTCCTCCCAAATTCACTCCGGAATAGGGAGTAGGTTAAGGAGTCTAGCAGGAGCAAGAGTTTCATATTTATGTTGTTGACAAATTAAACATCTTTGTACAAAATGTTTAACATCTGTTTTCATACCTCGCCAATGCACACTTGATCCTAATCACTTCAAGGTCTTTAGGAACCCTCCATGACCACTTGTTGGAGTCACATGTGCTTCTTCCAAAAATTTAGCTCGTAATTGAGCATCATTTGGAACCACAAGTCATCCCTTGAAATATAATATGCCTTCCACCAAGCTGTGATCTGGGTGAGATTGTGGATTTGTTTGTAATGCATCCACAATAGCTTTGGTTTCAGGGCCTATCATTAATGCTGTAGGGAGTTGCTGTAAGGCATCTGCTAAAGGGATGACAATCTGGAAAAAATCAGCATGTTGAGGCCTTCGTGATAGTGAATCAGCTGCTGTATTGTCCTTTCCTGCTTTGTATATGATGGTAAAATTGAAAGGAAGAAGCTTGAGCATCATTCGCTGCTGGGAATTGGTGAGGGTGTGTTGTTCCAAGAGGTACTTAAGGCTGCAGTGATAAGTTTGGACATAGAAATGATGACCAAGTAGGTAGTAGCGCCATTTTTGAATTGCAAGCACTAGAGCCAACAGCTCCCTATCATATGTGGACTTATACCTGTTGGAAAAAGAGAATCCCTTGTTGAAATAAGATATTAGATGTCCTTCTTGAACGAGGATAGCATCCAATACCCTCCATTGAAGCATCACACTGAATGGTGAAAGGAAGATGAAAGTTTGGTAGTTGCAACACTGGTGTGGTGGTCATTACTAATTTTAATGCCTCAAAAGCTTTTTGTGCCTGTTCAGACCAATAAAAAGAATTTTTCTTGGTTAGTTCAATCAAGGGTCTAGCGATAATACCATAGTTTTTGACAAAACGCCTGTAATAACCAGTGAGCCCTAGGAACCCATGGAGCTCTTTTACAGATTTGGGAGCGGGCCATTGCACTACTGCATTTATTTTCTCAGAATCCACTTCAACCCCTTGGGCAGAAACCATATGGCCCAAGTAGTTAATTTGAGTCTAGCCTAACGAGCATTTTTTTGCATTGGCAAAGAAGGATTGCTTCTGTAAAATTGAAATACTGCGGTTAGATGCTGTAAATGCTGTTGGGGCGAAGCGCTGTACACTAAGATGTCATCAAAAAATACCAACACGAATTTTGTAAATAAGGCCTAAATAAGTCATTCATAATAGATTGAAAGGTAGCTGGTGCGTTAGTTAAACCAAATGGCATAACTAAAATTCATAGTGGCCTGAGTGAGTGCGAAAAGCTGTTTTGTGTACATCCTCTGGTAGAACTCAAATTTGATGATATCCAGATCGTAAATCAATTTTTGAAAAGTAGCCAGCCCCATGCAACTCATCTAAGAGTTCATCAATATTGGGAATAGGGTACTTATCTGGTATGGTGATTTGATTAAGACGCTTGTAGTCAATGCAGAGGAGCCACAAACCATCCTTTTTACCAATGAGTAGCAAAGGACTGGCAAAAGGATTAGTGCTAGGTCGTATCAATCCATATTGTAGCAAGCTCTCAATTTGAGCTTCAATCTCATCCTTCTGGTAATGAGGGTAACGATATGGCCGTAGATTAAGAGGTGTAGCATTTGGGAATAGCTTGATGGCATGGTAATGATCTCGAGGTGGTGGCAGGCACCCTGGCTTAGAAAAAATATCAGCAAAATCATGAAAAATTCTGTCAATATTCAAGTGTCCTGATGCATCCTTCTCATTTGATTCCTGAGTAAGAAGCATGCTATGGAGATGGACAGAAACATCATTGTTAGTAGGTAGGCCTTGCAGCTTATATTTCTTCCCATTTAGCTAAAAAATCATAAACATTTTGTTCCAGTTAGCTTGCACAGTGTTCAGTGACGCCAACCATTTAATACCCAGTACCAAATCAGAACCACCCAAGGAGAAAGGGTAGAAATCTTGCTGAATAGTTAAATCAGAAATTGTTACCTTAACCTTTGGGCAAACCTGATGGCATTTCACTCTACTACCATTACCAATTTGAACTCCAAAAGTTGGAATCGTCCGCACAGGGAGCTGCAATTCGGATACCACTGCGTCTGAGATGAAATTATGCGTGGAGTCGCTATCAACTAAAATCAGGACAGTGCAACCCTTGAGCGTGCCTTGAAGTTTCATTGTGGCTGCCGAATGCTGTCCTAGAATCGCATTAAATGAGATTTCAGCCCCCTCTGGCTCCATTTCTATCTCAGCTCCCTCGTGTAGGGGAGGTAGAATTTCTTCACCTTCTTCAGAAATTTCCAGCAAAGAAAAAGAAGCATTGTAGCGATGCCCAGGTCGAAAAATAGCCCCACACTAGAAGCACAGACCCTTATCTCAGTGGTTTTGATGTTCCGCATCTTCGGGAGAGATTCTTGCAGCTGTTAAGGAGTTGTTAGGAGTAATTGAGGTCGAAGAAGCTGGTCGGGAGGGATACGCAGACGAAGCCAATGAAAGGGAGTCTCTGGAATTGCAGGAAATCACGTGCAAATTGGGACTGATTTGAGCGATTTTGGGAGTATGAGGTATTGGGCCTGGGCCCACGTGAATTTTGAGCCTTTTTCTCAAATTCCAGGGCCAAACTTGCAGCTTTAAACACTGTTCTAGGTTTCTGAATGCATGCATCAGCTGTTAATTCTTCCTTAAGGCCACCTAGAAAAATACCTAAGAGGCAGTGCTCTGGCCAGTTGCGAACTCGTGCTACCCGCCTAGTAAATTCTTGACGGTATTCCTGTACCGATCTAGTTTGCTTAATGGTCGCAAGGTGCTCATTCGGATTTTGATATTCAGGAGGCCCATAGTGCTCTTGTAATGTCTTGACCAGCTCATCCCAGTACAACAAGGTGTGTTCTAAATTTACCCATGAGAATAAATCCAACGCATCTCTTTCTAGACTCATTGAAGCAACATCAACTTTCAAATCTTTCGGTGTTTGATAATACCGAAAAAAATTTTCAGCCTTCAAAATCCATCCTCAGGGATCTCCTCCACTAAATTTTAGAAATTCAATTTTTGTATAGGGTGGATGTGGGCCCCTTTGGTCATAGTCATCTTCACTATCATCTTCCCAGTGTGAGCGCCTATAGTGACTCTCCATGGTTCGCTTGCCTCTACTCGTTGCAGAAGCCTCAAGGGCCACTATCTTCTCTTTCAACAAATCAAGTGTCTCTAATTTAGAAGCGATTGCTGATAATGGGTCTTCTGAAAATGGATTGACTACAGATTCATTGCGTGGGGGGTTATTGGAGGAAGTGGTGTTGGGATCGATGGTTTTTTTACTGGAGCATGTGGTCACCATGTTGATCGAACGTGGCTTGGATACCAAATTGTTAAGAACTAAGGAAAGCAAATAAAGCTATTAAATAAATTAGAGCAAGAATCTCACCCTAAAAATATTTAATAGCCAGAGTAGGAAAATCTCCAAGAGAAATCGTATTTTATTTTCTGAATGTCTAGCTATGATAGAAGCTAGTCCATTTATAATGCAGGAATTACGGCAAAATAATAAATAAATAATAAAAAAATATCCCAACATATCTGGGACAATAACTGACTCAAACAAAAATTGACTTAAACAAACTAAACATGATCAAAAGTTGATCCACTTATTTAGCCAACTAAACTGAAAATGAATTAATTAAAAAAAAGCAACTTAATTCTGCAAAACTGACTCTAACTTCATCCCCTTTCTTCTCTGATAAGTCAATAGTGGGCATTGACGTTGACGCAGCATGCTATCGCCCTTGAATGAAAATCTTCCATTCATGTAAATATTGAATTTATGGTTTGATGATGTAAAGAATATCCATTTCACGTTGCATATTTTTTTCCCTTTATGTTAGATTCCAGCCACATGTAAAATTATGTATTTTAGACAAGCTTGAGGAAATTTTTTAGAAAAGATCCGGCCTTCAAATATTTATCTGGTTTGTAATTGAAAATATTTAATTTACACTATCCTATCTTCTATTTTTTTAGTTGCTGATTTAATGGGACTAGAGATTTCCTTATTTTTCGATTCTATTCTCAGATTATATCATAATAAGAACCAGATGCAGTGCTAGTGCTCTGTTCTTTCCTCCATCTCTACTTTATATTTTTTTCGCTTTCTTCATGGTATCAGAGCAAATTCTGATCCAACCATGATTCAATTTGGTCATGGCTTGATTGTTGAAGGCCTTGAGAGTCAGAATTCCATGACTGGAACCTCATCTGCCACTATGCAGCACACCTTCTGCCAAGAGCCCCTTCCAACATCCAAAAAACCAGCTCTGGTTCTTATCACACCATACTACATAAATGGCCGTAACTACCTCCAGTGGTCATCAAGCCTGATATGGTCTGCTAGTGCCAGAGGCAAGGCAAATAAGCTTACTAGATCTGCTGCTCTGTCTAGTGTTGATGATGCTAAATATGCTACCTGCGAGGCTGAAACCAGCTTGGCACTATCTTGGTTGATCAATTCAATGACAATAGAGATTGGGAAGAATTTCTTGCTGTCTAAAATTGCTCATGGTGCATGCACAATAGAAAAGGCATCTTGTTCCTCAGTTAATAATAAAGCAATTCTATTTGGCATTGAGTGTTTTCTCCATGATTTCAGGCAAGGCAACCTAGATGTAACCCAATATTATAATGTACTACTAAGACAATGGCAAAAATGGGATCTTTACGAGATTCATCAATGGTACTGTGAAACTGATGCGCAATATTACAACACACTCAAAGAAGAAAAGAGAGTGTATAAATTCTTGATTGGCCTCAACCCCATCTTTGAAGCAATAAGAAATCACATCATGAGTCTGGATCCGTTACCTACTCTTGAAGAGGTATTTTTCGTTGTTAAAAGGGAAGAAAGTAGAAAGAGACCCACACCCAATACTTCTACTGCTTATGCTGCCCCTGAATCATCAACATTGGTAGCAGAAGGTGCTCGTTCTGATGACTACAAATTGAAGAAAATCTGAGAGACCATGGTGTGAACATTGTCACACAGCAGAAGTATACTGGAAACTTCATGGGCAACCAGCAAACATAAAGGGTCAAGTTGTTGAAACAAAATTAATGGAGATGGATTCATGGTGAAATTGGAAGAAAAGCCTTGGCCTTAATCAAATTACTCCAGCAAGTAGCACTTTGTGATGTTGCACAGAATGACTGGGAACCAACTCTAGCAAACATCAGGAAATGACATTGGTGTTGTTCTTGTTGCTCCTGCACAGGTAACCCATCACTAGCCTTAAACACCAAAGTCCGGAACAACAATACTTGGGTGGTTGATTTTGGTGCCTTTGATCATATGACTAGTAAATCCTCTTGCCTTGAAATGTTCACTTCATGTATTATAAGTTGACAGTAAAACCGGCTGAGTGAGCACCTTCCAAAGGGTTTGGTTATGGGTACAGTTCAATTGTCAGATACTTTAATTTTAAGAAATATTTTGTTGGTTTTTTAGGTAACTTGCAATCTGTTTTCAATTAGTAAACTGAAAAAGGACCCCAATTGGGTTACTAAGTTTTTCACTGCTAATAGGTCGTAAGTAGATTCTCACTATAAAGTACAACACAAATTGAAACATGAATCATAAACCACCATGAGGCCATACTAAGGATTTCCCTTAACTCAAAGGATTCGATTTTCTACATACTTTTACGTATTGCAGCCAAATTTAATACTGTCAAAGTTCTTCCTTTAGAGGCTAACCATAAATGGCCATTGCACCAATTTAATGCAAACAATTCCTTTTCCATTGGTGACTTGGAGGTAAGCTAGGAGAAACACAATAGGAACTACCTGCAAGCTGTGTTTCAAGAAGGGTAATCCTCTAGTTGATACTAAGATTTTAAACGCTAGTTGGAAAACTCATTGATTTGTTCCATATTAGAACTGACATTTGCTTTCCTATTTGTATCGTTAGCCAATAAATGAATAGACTTGTTGAAGAATGTGTGGAGAATTCTAAGATATCTCATGACGATACCGCAGTAAGTTCATATTCTTTAAGAAGGAAATGAGAGAACTGTTGATGTGTACACGAATGATTGGGTTGGCTCTGCAAGAGAAAAAAGGTCTGCAATTGGGTACTACTTAGGGAGATGTTTGAAGATTTGAATAGTGAGCTTGAATAATCAACATCCACCTTCCAAATTGACGGCGAGTGTTAGTTGTCATGAGAAGTATTCCATATTCCTTTACAGTATTCTAAAGTAATATTTGTTTATCTGGTTTATTTTCTTCTCTTTTATTTTTGCTGTGCCCCTTGTATCATCCTATCACTTAATTTGTTTTTAAGTTGGGTTAGATACTGATTTGTTCACTTTTTTTTCCCGATTTATTTTTGATTGTTGTCTCAGATATATCATAATAAAAACTGGATGCTGCACTAAGTGAACTGATCTTTCCCCTTCTCTTTTCTCTATTTTCTCTCTTTTTCTTGCAAAATTTCAGCTGTTGCAGTGGTAAACAAAACTGAAACACATTTGCATTTTTTATCTGCTGGGAAAGATGAATAGTTATACAAAATTATGAGGTAGCTTTTCCATTCGACGTTTACATCTTGTGACAGTTTTCGATCTTATATGGATAGGGACCAGAAGGTCCTCATTGGTTCGGTTCTTGAGGTACATATCTCTCTGTTTCCACCCTCTTGTGGGAGAAAATAAGATAATTCTCCAAAACAGTTACGTTTGAAAGCAAAATCGGAATCTGTATATTTCATAAGAAATTTTGCTGCCTGACTTTCTGAACTCCAGTTGGAAAAATTGAGACTTTGAAAAAATGCAAATGTAAATTTGCAAATGAAACATCGGATCCATTTTCGATTTCATCTTAAAATTTTCATATGTGGGAATTGGCATCATTGGAAATACTAAATTATACACTCAAACCCGAGTCTCTCTCTCTCTTCGTGTAAAACATGGATAAATGGCTTTGATTGATGTTCTTGCCTTGACTCGATTGGAATTGAATTCCCGGTTAGTGTGAGGGTCGATGATCTCATTTTGGATATAAAAAATGAAAATTGTTAGAAGAAAACACAAATGACAAATATACAAGTGGAAATTCTTTATTGGATTTTCATATATATTTTTTAAATGGCTTGGCACGACATGAAAGACGAACGAACGAACGATGCCCTCCACTATACAAGAGCTGAGATTCTACTGGATTCACTGCATCGTTACAAACTTGTCCAATAATCAATATTAATAATATGAAATACATAACGAGTCATATAATTCGTAAGCTGCAAATAATATAACCTATTAAGCAGGCATGGACCTTAAGTTGACGAAAAGAATTTTGCAGACTGCAGAACATGAGCCAAAATTATTTATTCGCCCACGGTCACATACTTGTATTCCCGCATTGACTAAAGGCAGTTTATCAGGAAATATATTAATTCTAATTCTAACTGGTTTTAAATATTTTCTTCGTTTCAGCAATTTTTTTTTTTTTTAAATCTTGGGTCCTTCATTCTGCATAAAGCTAAAGGTACAATAATCACCAACAACCCTGAGGAAGCCATTTAAGTAGCGCGCTAGCTGTCCAGCTTGGCGGGCAGGCTTGACCAGATTCCATTGTATTTATGAAGCTGTGGTTCCTACTTTATGCCTTGAAATAACACTTTAAGCTAACACATTAATTACCAACAACCAGCATTGATTTCTCATTTACAAGGATTAAACGAAAATTCGAGAAAAAGAAAAAGAAAAGGAACAAGTCCATAGATATTCATATAATGAAAAGGAAAAGAAAAAGAACGAGTCCATACAAATATCCTATCATAGTCAGTATTTGATAAATGTATGCGTTTTTCATTTTTAGCTTCTTTTCCTTATCTACATAATCTATGCAAAACTTTCTACCGAACCATAAAAAATCTATGGAAATCTTATGCAATGATAGATGTCCAAAGATGTTCATACAAAAGTTGGACAAGATGCCTCCCCATCTTAACAACGGGACGCTCAATTCAATCTTCAGTACAGTGATTAGCTGTCCAAAAGGTTTGCTGTACTCTAAAGAATATCAACATTTGTCCGACATTATAAGACTTGAGAATGTGGTTAAGACAGATGTTCGACCAGGGAGCGATCCATGTTAATCGAACGAGAATAGAATTGTATTAAAACATCAAATCAAACGAGATGCCAATAACAGAACATAGGAAAAGTAATCACATATCCCAAGTTTACATATAATAAAAAGTAGAATTCCATGAAACACATGCAACAATGATATAACCACAGATTTGGTGCTCGGAAATTAAACCTCAATTCCCCTGAGTATCTGCATGATGAACCATAAAAACATATCACTGCCTGAGGGATTCTATTTATTTATACAGCTTTCCTTTGGTTAGGGAAGGGAGGGAGGGTGGTAGTGAGGTGATTTCAAAGGTTTGCTTCCGGGAAAGTCAATATGCACAGGACAAGCATACTCCTTGGAAGTAACCATAAAAGATCCACCATAACCGACACTGACATCAACCCAAATCCCTTCCAGTTGCAGGAGGAAAAGTGTGAAGAGAAAAAGATATCAGTGTGACTCACCTATCTCTCTCTCTCTCTCCCCTTACAGTTCCCTCCAGTCAGTCACTGAAAGGGATTCATACTATCAGGGTTACAGCTAGAATCCTTATTGGGTCTATACTCAACAGAGGGGGAGCTTGAGTCCTTCCAGAGCCAGTCGGTTGAGAAAGTCAGCGGGGACTGATTTTCCTGTTTCAAACACCCTGCCAAACTTAGCTGATCACCATAAAAATGTTGCTTTGATCTTGCAGCATTGATGTTCAATGGCTCAGCATCCCGCATCGTCCCCAGCTGGAAGCAGCTGCTAACAATAGTAGAACTATTTCTTGACTCCAAGACAAGTTGTGAGGGAACTTGTGAGATATGAGACCACATGGTGTCCGAGGTAGAGTCAAAACCAAGATAGCTTGTGCTTCCCAAGCCTTTCTGCAAAAAGTTGTGCTCCTCTGCCTCAGAATTCAGCCCGAACCTGTGGAGTCGTCAGTTAACATTATGCAAGATAAGAAAAAACTGTTCAATAAAAACTAGTTATCATCTTCCCAGGAACTCCTTAAATCTTAACCACATTATTATTGCACCACGACCCAGTAACTGAGCTTGCAAGCTAACAAATGAAGCCAAAGGCAAAACGCTCTAAGATTGTTGCAGCCATGGAATCCAAACTCATCCCATCCTCTATTCTATTGAATTGAATCTAATAGACTGTTTACAGATATAAATTTTGTACAAGCAATGTTCTACATATGGCATTTTAAATACTCCTTTTATGGTCAGAAACATAAGATTTATATATGCACACATCAAATATTATGTTACCAAGAAAAAAAAAACATGATTTTGTCCAAATTGCCAAATTCACCTTTAACACTGTTCCCCTTCACATTTGATCTTGTCTAAATTTAAAACCAAAAAGCATTTGCCCACCTACACTATAAATTTCTCAAACATCCTCACAGTAGAGACAGAGGCTTCCGTCACAACAGATGAGGAATTATAACAGGCTTAAGGATGTTCAATATATTCTATTTCAATTCATGTGGAAGATTTTGTGCCAGCTCACTGATGACCAAAAATAAAAAACCATACCAGATAAATGAAAAGAATAGTCACGCTCACAATGTCCTTCAACAATACTCCCTCCGGTCCAGTTTATTGGTTATCTTTTAGAAAGGTGAAGTGGTTTGCTTTATAAGTCATTGAATTGATAATGATGTTTTGTTTCAAATGAAATGTCTAAACTATCCTTAAAAAATAAGAGAGAGAGAATGAAAAAATAATATTATACAGTTTATTTGCTTTTTAAGGGTTACGTTTGTGATTTTACTAAATTTTATTCTTTGTGCTTTTGTTATATTGGTGTTAATGAGGTTGGTGAAAATGACTTATAAATAAGATTGGAGGGAATATATCCCAAATTTAATAGAAAGGATGAATTAAAGGTGTGGACTGAGTTTCTGGATAAGTGCCATTTCTGCCACTAATATGTATATATGGTCGGCAAACATAAAATAATCCACTTATTTTGCTTCCACTATCAAAATTTAACATCAGTCCTCCTGCTATTTAGTTTATATGCACGATCATCAACAGAACTTTGATTTATCAAGTCATCCCCTGATACTTCATTCCTTTCCACCCTTTGAAAAGGTAGTATCCTAGGGCATTTTCTTCAGCGTTGATCAAATATGAAAAAGCACACCTATAACGTCTTCTGGGGGAAAAATACAGGGCACCGAATTATGATTTAGATTTATATTAGGAAAACCACAATCAGTTGGCAGATGGGATAGTTCAGTTTTCTATGAGTCCGTTCCAGTTCAGGGAAGGTCAGCCTCCGATGATCACTTCTGGACTCATAACGTGAACACCATAAAAAAGCCAAGCTCAAGACTCAACCCAGATATGCTATTCCCAAAACATGGTGAGTTTTCATTCCAATACAATACTTGGAAGAAAGGCAAGGATGAAAGTTGTATTTAAGGTTATAAACCTAACAGCAATATCTGAGAAGGGGCTATATTAAAATTGTTAAGATTTTAGCCTGTTCAAATGCATCTTATCAACTTGACAACCAGACCGTAAAACATACAACTCAAACTCGAAAGCTCGGATCCTTTATTTCCACCTTATTCTCCATCCCAAACGTCATAATGATTTTCATGTTAGGTAATTTAGTATTTCAGCTGCCCCAATAACCATGTACGCCATAAATCTCGGAAGGTAGCTTTATATGAAAAAGAAATAACCGAAATCAAAAGTTACTTCAGATAGAAATTAAACCATTAGAAGATGAAAAGAAAAATACAAATACCTGCAATCTTTCCTGCTAATCTCACCGGGAAGAGACTGTATCTGCTGTGATAAGTTGTTTCCAAGGTTCAAATCCTCACGAGCACCATTTCCGTGCAAGGGCAAGCTCTGGAAGCTTCCAGAGCCACTTCTGCTCCCAGAAGCAGCAACGTCCGATGCAGAACTGGACGAAGACTGAGAAGCAGCTTGTTGCGATTCCACAGGCTTTCTTGAACGGTAACGACGGCGTATCATGTGCCGCTCACAGTACTTGGAGTCCGGATGCGCATCTCTCGAGCATCTCCACTTCTTCCCATCCGTTCTTCGACACCTGCCCGGCTCTGGGTCGATCTTCTTCCCGTAATACGAGCAATAACCCACTGAATCAAAAAAAAAAAAAAAAGGTATCAAGCATGATACTTCAAAAATCGAGCCTATGGTGTTTAACACATATAAGCCAGTTGTTTCAGGTACAACACCATACTTCAAATTAGGTGTTTGAAGGCTTACAAGACGGGTGATGAACGAGCTTTGGCGGCATCAATTCGAGACTCTTGCGAATAGGAACGAGGAGGTCGAGGGGGACGGCCAGTCCAGCCTTGAGGTACTTAAAGATGAGAGCTTGGTGTTCAAGCTCCTGCCATTGCGCCACCGTGAACGGTGGCTGGACCGCCGTCCACATCGGCGGAGAGTTCATTTCGATGTCCTTGTTCTTGTTGTGGTCGTTCTTATGCTTACTGCTTTCAAGTTTCGACACATACGAAGAGTGATTCAATGAGGAAGCCATCCGGAAAAACAATAAAAGAAAGGAGTTGAGAGAGAGAAGGGAGGCGGTTACCTCGGAGTGGGAGAGAGACAAAAGCAGTGCGGCCATGATTGATTGGAAGGGATTAAGGTAGCCGAACAAGAACGACCTGAGAGATGCGAGTGAGAGATCTTTTTCTTGCCTCCTTCCCCTCGCGCTCTTCTATTATTATTTGTCCTTTTCCCCACACAAGAGACACTCACCGCACCGAGAATCGGTTCAACGGCGAACCGGGCTAATTTTTTAACCCTCTTTGGGTTAAAAATAACAAATAAACTACGGCAAGAATAAAAATTAGGGAATTTCTTTTAAATAATATAAATAATAATTTAATCTCTCAAAATAATATAATATCAATAAAATTTTTAAATATTTTTTATCATTAAAAATTAATATAAATGATCAAATTATCTTTAATTTAAAATTTTAAATGCTAATTTGTGAATTATTATTGCACTCTTGTGATTTTAAAAAAAATTATAAATCTTAAAATAAAATTTGTGAATAATAATTATATTTATAACACTGATAAAATATTAAGATTTTAAACACAAATTTGTGCATTGCTGTTAAATTTTTATGATTTTAAAAAAAAAATTGTGAATCTTGAAATAAAATTTGTTAATGACAATTAATATTTAAACTAAGAATAATTTAACAATTTATATTAATTTTTTAATGATAAAAAAGCTCCTAAAAACTTCATTAATATCATGACATTTCAAGGAATTAAATTATCATTTACATAATTTTAAAAAAATTATTACCATTTTTTCTAAAAATTATAAGATGGTAACGTTGTGATCCCTGAAACATTAATCCATAATTCAATTTGTAGAAATGTGAACAGAAAGCAATGCTTGAGAAAGACTAATGTTTTAAAATATTAATTATGGATTAGTCTCATGCCTGCTGGACCTTGGGAAACAAAGAAAAAACTTACAATTATAAGAGAAAATGAAAGAGAAAAATGCATTTTTAATTATCTTAATAAAATGATAAAATGGAAATTTAGAAAAATATGAAAGAAAATAAAATGTGGTCCTCCTATTTTTTTTCAATTTTTTTATCTATTATATATGTACTATGTGGCAAGATCTTGGGAGAGAAAAATAATTAATCTCGCTTCATTTATAATCCCTGTATTTATCAAAATTAATTATAAATTTAAAACTATGGCTATCCCATAAATTGATATTAACTACTACTTTTTAAAATCAACTTTATAGAACTATCACAATTTAAATATTTTTTTTTTTGCTAGTGTGGCCTTATTTAGTGACATGCAAGCTCCTTTGCAAAATGAGAGATCAATTGAAATCTCATCTTATTAGAATTTATCCTTCTAATTTTTTTTTTAAATCATTGTTTTCCCACTCATACCCAAGCATGCCCAGAAAGAAGAAGAATGAGGTACGCAATTAATCAGTCTCCCCGTACCTCAACATAGGAATTGTTGGTCAGTAAATTGTTCGCTCCCATTCTCTGAAGGAGCAATTTAATTTTTGGTATGAGTCGTCCAACTCTATATCCTTTCCAGTGGAAATGTTGTCTCCTGGTCTCTCACTGTCAAATTCTTCCAAGCTTTTGTCTGACGCTTTCATGGATAAATTTCCATTGAAAGACCCAAGAGGCCTAGAAAGTTGAACTTGATCAACTTTGTCTCTTGAAACAACTTTTTTTCACTCTAGTCACAGAAAGATTTGCCATGAACAATCCTATTCAGCAATTCAGGTTGTGTTTGGATACCATTTTATAATCAACCATGGCTCATGAAATCTGTTTAAAAAAACCACCCAGATATCTATTTTTTAATAAATTCTGTTTAGTCTGAAATTTCATTGCCGGAGAAGTTATTTAAAATTTCACTTGACAATTAATTATTTTAAAATTCTATTTGATAGTCAATTTTACTTAATTAAAATCCAAAAACATCCTCAATTTCTATACCAGAATCACTTTCTAAAATCACTTATAGCTCAATAATTGGAAGCTTCCCCCTTGCAAAGTATTTAGGGGTTGTTTGTTTTCAGTTTTTAAATTTTTTTTTCATTTTTTTAAATAAAAAATTGTTAAAATTGATTTAGATTAGTGTTTTTGATTTAATTATTTTTTTAAAACAAAAAATAAAAATAACCTCAAGTTATTTTTATTTTATTTTTTTAGTTTGGCAAATACATTACATTTTATTATTAAAAATTATAGTTGTCTTGATCAATTTTTATTATAAATTATCATCGTTAATCACCTATACTCATTACTATTAACCTATTTTTTAATTCTAAAATTATTTTTAAATTAAACCAAACAAATGTTTATTTTATTTTGTTTTAAAAAATAATTAAAAATTATATTACAAAATAATTTTTAAAAACAAGAAATAAAAATAGAAACCAAATAGGCCTTTAATTCTTGTAATTGTCATTCTTGTTTCTTCACATCACCAACAATTCAAAAGGCAAATCTTATTATTTAAAATATTTTTTATGAATTTCATATAATTTATAAAAAAAACTTATATACTTAATATTGTATGTTCAAGATATTTATTTTTAATTGAATTAAGATATGCATATTTTTTATAAATTAATTTATTCAGCCTTTTATAATTTTTATTAGGTCCGCTAGATTTTGTAAATACAAGAAACCTTTGGGCGATAGCAACAAATAGAGATTTCTTCACGGGTTATTTTATAAATACCCCAATAATTAAAAATCAAAAAAGTTGGCAACTTTGCTTTCGAAGCTAGTTTCTAGTCCAAGATACAGCAGAAGAAGGAAGACGAAGCCAACGAGCTCCCTCCGTCCCCTCTCCGCTCGAGCCACGAGCCTCTTCGGTATAGGCAGGTGAGCTAAAATCTTTCAGTTTGTTTTATTTAAAAAAATTATGATCGCAACACCACGGTTTTTCATTCGCGTGTGGTCTAGGCCAATTCAGCCTTTAGATTCTGCATTTAATGAATCCTTTTGTGAATGATTCTCCTTTTGATATGATCTATTTTTGTTTATGTTCGATGTAAAATATTTAATATTGTCAGGCTTTTCGAGTTATTGTGGATTCAATTCATTTTAAATTTTAATAATTTCCACATTTTGCCTAGTCTTTGCTAATTTGCTTTCATGTTTTCCTTTTCGTCGAAACTTTAAACAAAAAGTTTGCCTTTTCCCCCCACCTTATCAATTCATTTTTGTCCCTGTTGCAGTAAATTTGTTGAATGTGTGATGTAATTTTGAAGGCAAGTGGAAATCGTGAAATGTGAAGTATGAAGCTAGTGGTGTGTTTTTTCTTCTCTCTTTATAAGCTGCGTTCAACCGTAGTATTTTGTGTGTCATGAGTGTATGTGTAAGAAAATGTGTCCAATAGCTTTGAAGTCTGAACAAGACCGTCACTTGTACTTTATAAGCTGCGCCAAATTGTAGTATTTTAGGCAGATTTTGATGTCATAGATGTGTTTTCCTTTCACATACCATGTAGAGAGTAATTGTTGCATTTCCCATAAGTGCATGCTCTCTTATCCACATCTTATGGTTTTGATACATATCCATAGTCAGTAATAAGAGGAATCAACTTGGGTAGTAAGCTAGTCATAGTTATTGTTGATGCGTATGTAATTTAAGTATTGGTTTGCGTGAAACTTTGCATTACTCCGGTACATCTGTTGCTGGCGTAAAGTTTTTAATGAATATTAATAGAAGCTTAGTTTGAATTGTTTATCTTCCATCCTTCTACTGAATTTTTTGCTTGACAAAATTTTTCTGTGACAGAAACCAGAGAACATTTCGCCCAAAAAAGAGTGCACCTTCAGGGAGTAAGGTTGGTTCCTTCTATTGAAGCATACATTGTGGATCTCTTTGATTGGATATAGTTGCCTCTCCTTAAAAATAACTTGGCCAACCATACCTAACATTTAATTACTCCCTTTTACTCTCAACAATGGAGATTTCTTCCTTTTTTGTTGGAAAATAATTTTTTTAGTGAAACGAAAATTGATATGTTTTGAAGAATATCAGGATGAAAAAGAGAAAGAAAGAGGAAGTATAAAATCATCAGTACATGAGCTAATAGGGACTATTTTGAGACTGTTTAGATGCAGGAAGAGGACATACTTTTCATAAGCAAGATATTAATTTATTATGGTCGACCCTACAGAAATACTAAAACCTGGTTTATTTTTAAAATGCAATATCATGGTTTACAATGTTGTTGTGAATAAAAGTATAAGATTATCTTTTGGCTAAAAAATAAAAGTATAAGATTATCAACTTTCAAGTTTTATGCTGTGGCGGTGGGAGTCTAAGTGGAATCGTGATGTTAACTACCCTGTAACTCTGTTCGTTGTTTTGCAGGGAGCACAGCTTAGACAACACATTGATGCCACATTAGGTAGTGGAAATCTGAGTGAAGCAGTAAAGCTACCACCTGGGGAGGATTTAAATGAGTGGCTTGCAGTCAACAGTATATCTCATTCTCTCTTTCACTTTTGTGCTCTGTCAAGAGTAGGGCATTAAATTGCTGGTTATTGTTATTTCTTCTTGCCTCTCATCCTGTTTCCCCAAATCTATCTTCTAGCATGTTCCCATTCAATTTCAAAATTCAATAATTTGAGTCTATTCTGGCCCATATTGCAGCTGTAGATTTCTTCAACCAGGTGAATCTGCTTTGTGGTACCCTTACGGAGTTTTGTACCCCTGAGAATTGCCGGACTATGTCTGCTGGACCCAAGTATGGCATGCTCTGTTGAATGAAATAAAATAAAAAGAATTGCAGACTTATAAAAATGCATTGAATTAATAGACATTTCCTTTAATTGTTCCCCCCCTATGACACGATTTAATAGGTGGTGCAGTTTTTTTTTTTTTGCTGGGGGGTGGTGGAGGGGGATGGAATGGATTAAAAATGAGCTGATTGTGTTGTTCGACTTATACAATCTTACTATAAGTTATTCAAACCAATCAGTTGGTATTTCACGAAGAGTTTGACCTTATGTTGCTCCACTTAATTGTTATTGTAAACTTTCCACTAAGATTTTCTTATGCAATGTTGTATTCTTCTGAGAAATTTCATGAGAATTGAGGATATGGGTGTTTAAAATTTATGAATAGTTGGTTATATATTTTGCATTTCTTGCCTATATTGTAAATACTCTATTGGGAAATAAAAGGATGGAATTTGCGCTGTGCTGCAAAAGTCTTTATTTCCCTTGACTATGTTTTGTTCATATCCTTTTATTGGCCCTATTTTTCTGCAATATCATGAAAGCACATATGTTTGGCCCTGCCTAACTTTTAAGGCAGGGGATTCTTGCTAACTCTCAGTTTCCTTAGATTCTGCTTGTGACAGCATTTAAAAATTGATGTAGACATGACTAGAAAAGAGTGTTGTTTTCATAAATTGGAGAAAGAAAATGATTATGCTTATTGACTTTGAATTTTTAAAATAGTTTGGCAAGGGGAGCCATCATACAAACATGGATAGTTCTGTCCACTGCAGGATCAGAGCTTGAGTATTATTCAGAGTGGGGTATGGTTCTAGTGTTAAAGAGATATAACAAATTGTGACTTTTTGACCATGAAGTAGTCAAAATACTACATTTCCTCATTGAGGTCATTGGTTAAAACTAATTATTGTTTCAACCAATTTTGTTTTACTCACCTGCACTATATTTGTGTAACTTTCATTCTGTCCTATTGTATGATAACTTTCAGGTATGAGTATAGATGGGCAGATGGCGTACAAATTAAGAAACCTATTGAGGTTTCGGCCCCAAAATATGTAGAATATCTGATGGACTGGATTGAGTCATAGCTTGATGATGAATCCATCTTCCCTCAGAAGCTTGGTAAAGATAATACATCATTTGTTTCCCTATGATAATAGACTCTTGTAATCATCATCCATGTGCTTAAACAAGTCAAATTTTGTAGGCGCGCCATTTCCTCCCAACTTCATGGATGTCGTGAAGACAATATTCAAGCGATTGTTCCGTGTGTACGCTCACATATATCATTCACACTTTCAGAAAATTGTGAGCCTCAAAGAAGAGGCTCACCTTAATACGTGCTTCAAACATTTTATACTCTTTACATGTGTAAGTCTCAAATATTTATGACTGAATAATTACGTTTGTGGTTAAGTAATCTTTTTGACCTGCTGAGTATTGAAGAGTTGAGGTTAACTCCACTGTCTCTGTATGTCCTTGATTTTTCTTAGGTCTATCAGAAACCTTTTTTTTCCTTTGCAATATTAAATCGACTGGTGGAAATATATTTTCATTTGATGCAAGGAATTGTTTTAGTGATTACAGGGTTTCTTTAATGGTCCAATTTTGTTGAAATTGTTTGATATTAAAAATTCTTTTTTGTGCAGGAATTTGGGCTAATTGACAAGAAGGAGCTTGCTCCACTTCAAGAACTAGTAGAATCCATTGTTGTTCCATACTAAGAAAAAGTGAAAAGTTCTTCACTGTGCTGTGAGAAAATCAAGTCTCGGTGAACAATACTAATTTAGTCAAGACTGCATGTTTGTTCTTGATTCAATAAACCCTTCCTTATATTTGGGGTTCCATATAATATAATATCAGCACTGACTAATTAAACTTGAAGAACTTGATGTCGGGATGTAGCTCATTGCTAACAAAGCAGTAATTAGTATGTAAATATCTATATGATTTTACAGACATCTCAATTTGTCCTTGTTGATTGATGGGTGGTTCGTTTAAAGGCTTTTTTAACATTCATACGGACTTGAATTTGAATTCAAAACCTTATGTTTAAATGATCATAGTCTTTTTCATTAAGATTAACCGTTGTTGGTATTAGTGAAAATTAACAATTTTACCAAATTAATGAGAAGAATGACTCTCATTTAGTACGTTCCCCCATTTAGTTATGTTCCCATTTAATCAATTTTATATGGTAAAAATGTTTCTAGATCACGTGTATTAATCTTTCTTAACTTAAACATTGTTTACATGATATTTATTTTAAAGAACGTACTTTACATCACAATAGATGACAATAAATTAATCATTAAATAAATGAAAATAAAATCTTGAAAAAAAAAAGCCTGCCTTTTGTAATTTTGAAAAAGGTCAAATAGATAAAGGTTGTTAAATATCAAAAATTTTTACAACGATATAAAGTTAAACTTAGAGATGAGAGAGTAGATAGATGATGGTTGATGACAATGATAACATTTTAAAATAGTAAATGCATCATTTGTTTTTATTCAACAAGTCACGTCTTAAGATTTAAAAATAGGGGCAAAAAGAACCCAAAGGGCTTCTCATAGGTACCTGTACTGCCACAAGGTCCCTCTAAAGCAGGTGAAGCTGGCAAAGAATCCAAATTCCCTCTCAGAATACTAGATAACATGATTTAATTTCAACATGTAACAAAAAAAAAAAAGAAAGAAAGAAAAGAAAGAATATTTTCCAAGCTCAAGTCACAATGCTCGATGACTTGACGCATTCCGATCCCAATATATTTTTTCCCCGAAACGGATCATCTAAAATCACCAACTTATATTGAACTGTCTCGACAAAATCACAGCTGTTTTAAAAGCCCTATATACGATACGATGTTTCAAAAAACAAAGATCCTTTGATATTTTAGGTGGAAATGGAATCACACAAGAAGGATAGAAATTTGAGACCTAAATATACTGCAACAAGTGCAACGAGGCAATGTCTTTCCAAGGACCTCTTCAGGTTAGTGCTTTGCAATTTTTTTTTTTTTTTTAACAATTACTAGACAGAGCTATAACCAGAGGCAGCAAATGCATCTTAACCAGCGAAACCCTTGATCTCTACAGTGAGATGTCTTAGCTAAGCTTGTTTGCCACAGATCTTTTACCAACGTCAAACTGAGTACAACCTTCATTCTGGTCGGCAAGAAATCCACCATAGCATCTTTCACTTTTGTTTTTCCTTTTTGTTTTGGCAGAAAGTGCACCTTCCACTTCCTATAAGCCGCGAAGTAGCTCAAAATAATTTCCAGCTGATTCCATTAAAAGTGATCTCATTTTTTTCATCAAGAACCAAAGGATCTTGTGCGACCAATCTGGTTGAGAACATCTCAACAAGTAAGGAAGTATCGTTGATTTTTTCATGCTTGCTCCAAGAGACCCCCATTGATGATGTGAGGGCTGCCCCATCGCAAAAGCGTTTAGCGAGATCCACCACCTTCCAAACGACCATACATCAGAAATGGCAAGTAGAAACAGTAAGATTCTTACTTCACATTCCACTCCAAAACAATTAAGAAAAATATTCCTTTTTAATATTCAGATTGGAAGAAATAAAATTCAATCAAAGCTTATTCCGAAGATGAAAAATAAGGCTCTCATTCTTTAATGATGATCAAGTTGGGAATCAAACTGCAACTAGGAATCAAAATGAAGCCTTGAGCTAATTGAAGAAACTCAATTAGTGACCACTCAGAGAACAGCTGACAGAAAAGAATCCAATATAATAATAATGATAGTAGTAGTAGTAATTAATAGAAGAGGTACCTCATTAATGACAATTACATGTCTTGTCCCATGCACACCGCAATATAAGAAATTGCCAACTGAAGAATAGAAAGTTCCCAATATCCTACATGCCCGCCCATTCTGAAATGCATCAATAAATAAAATGCAAAAAATTAGTATGAGCGTTGGCAAAGACAACAATAGTCACAAATTAGCCATTTTTTAAGGCATATGACCGAGGGGTAAAAACAAAGGTGAATCATCAAAAGATGGCCTTGCATTAGCCAAACGCAGCCATTGAAGTAATGAACATGAATAGGGAAGAGCAAAAACAGAAAAATTGTTGAGATCTAATTGTTTGACTTGGCTGAAGGTGATACAATAATTAGTATCTGTATTTTCAACAATAGAGCTATATACCAACTACATGCAATACACATTAAAAATAAACAAGGGTGGAAGATAAAGGTTATAGAATCACCCACTGCAATAAAGCCCATAGATGCATGATACTACAATAAATATGCATTTCTCATAAATATTCTAAACTAGTGTTAAGAAAGGGTTTCTGTATTCAGTGTATGCAGTGCAGGTGTGAGCTTCTAAAGGCATATAGCAGGGCCGCGGCTTTGCTTGGATTGTTGAAGCTTCGCTGTTTGAGTAATATATTTTATTGTCAAATAGTAGACCCTTGGTACAGGAGTCATTTTGTTGTTTTCATCATAAAGCCGCACGTAAGGAATTGGATAGAGTGATCAAATGTAAAGGTTCACAGTTTAGGTCAAAACAATAGAAATCAACCAAGGGCACTAGCCTCCTTTTGCCTTCCCAGAGGATGAGCTTCTTGTTCTGAATTTAAACGAAAGCAAGGGGAAAGACAGGCTAAATTAAAGAGGAAAGCAATCACAAGACTCACCCACAGTGGTCCTCTTAATATAGGTCACAGAAACTTGATAACATTAGTGAATAGCATACAACAGACATTTTATGCATCATATTGAAAAGGACGTGAAAATCAGCTACAGAAAATTATTTTCAATTATTTATAATTTCCTGACTTTGTAATGAATAGGATCGTGTCCATACCATTGCTGGTTTTTCCTGTACTCAGTGAGAACAGGATAGATGTTCTCAAAAGCAGTGTAAATTTCATCCCTCACCTACAGGATAGAAATAAGACCAATATCAATTCCACAAACAAGGAAAAGGCAAAATATAGAATAATATAGAATGCCTCAAACATATCACCTTAGCTCCTGTTAGGACTATTTTGCCAGAGACAAATATGAGAAGCACTATTTTAGGTTGCTTCATTCTATAAATGAGACCAGGAAACAGCTCTGGTTCATACTAACCAGCAGGGAAAAAGGAAGATTAGTGAACTTATAGTGGATTGTAGGATACCCAAAAATCAACACCATCCAAATAAAGATAGAACTGAAGATGACACTTTTGAGAAGGCACACAAGTTCATTTCAGGACTTACACTTGAGAAAGCACCATGAGAATATGCAAGACCCTCAAGCCGTATGGGGAACTTGACATCACAAGAGCCAACAATGTTCTGAATCTTAAAATCCTAAAGCATGATCCAAAGAAAAACAATGAAAAATCACTTATAGCAATGAATGACAATTTGACAAGAGAATAACTCTCGTTTTCTTTTCTTTTTTCAATAGCTACAGGAAAATATTTCAATGAAGATTCATAGAGAGAATTTTAGAAGGTACCTTAAATTTGGCAGGGAAACCAAGCTTTTGGATAATGCGAGCATACTGACAGGGGGAAGAAGACAACTTAGAAAGTACTGCCACTTGAAAGAAAACATGACTCCCAAATCCCAATTGAGAAAATAATTTTCATGATAAAAAAGTGTGATCAGACCAATAATGATTGAGTTGAATGAAAGGGGCTCAAATCTTTTAAACAAATTTGGAAATTCAAACTTTGTAAAAGAAAAAAATCACAGAGAAGAAGTTACCCCAATTGGGCTATATGATACCTGATAATACCATTACCAAATGACTGTTAAAAAAATAATTAAAAGAAAGATATGATTGCTGATCAGCACATTCGACCATTTTACCCTCCTTCATACATCAAAGGAACTTCTAGTCCAAATAAAGCAAGAACAAGCTGAAAAGTCAAAACCAAGCTAAATGGCAAGAATCCCCAATCTAATGGGCCTCCACTTGAAAAGCTGCCAATAATATATACATGATAAATGAGCAAAGAGAAGAACAATGCATACCTTTCTTGCTGCCAATTTAGACTGTTGCTCACTTTTAGCACCTGTACAAACCTAATCATACCATTTAGACTTAGATGCAGTAAAAAATGTGCACACAATCTGATAACAACGCAAATTGTACCAATTGCTAGAAAGGATAATACCATCTTGCCAGATGCAAAGATGAGAGCAGTCGTTTTAGGTTCCCTGATCCTCATAATCACAGCTGCAAAACGCTACAAAGGAACACATCACAAAAACATGAGCAGATATATTATGAATAACGACCTACGACAACATGTATACTGTTTGAAACAAGAAATACGTAAAGAGAACTAATTGATATTGATGGTGATTTTAACAATAACTACTTAGACGAACCAAGCTTCTTTGGGTCAGACGAAGTGCTTAATCTAAGAAAAATAACCCACAATTTAATTTGAAGAAAACAAAAACAATTTACACAGTTAAATTTTGCCAACATGTAGTACCTTTGGATTATACTCTGCATTTCGTGCTTGAAGGGCAATTGCTTTAAGGTCCAACTTACACTCCAAATTAACTGTTGAAACAATATTCCTAGAAGGAAAGAATGGATACATTGTCATAATGTTCCATCTTAAGTGAAAATATAAGTAAAAATATGACCCTTCTCAAAAATTTTACCAAAGAAATTGAGCATATGTTTTGAATCCATCTTAAAAGAACATATACAGAGATATCCAAGTAAAACAAAAGTCCAGCAGGGGGGATCTAAATCACATTTGATGATTGAAATTGCTTGATTGGGCTAAGAACAGCTTGACAAGGCATAGTGATATCACATTCAGCAACAACCAAACAGATAGGTGAATAATTTGATCCGCTGACACATAAGATATTTACATACTGCATTCAGCACCAAATCTTTTGTTTTGTTTCTTTTTTTTTTTTTTTACATCAAAGAAGTTACAAAGACCTTATTGGTAGGCATCACATAATGTACACCACATATTAATGAAATCAGGGTCATCTAATTAAGATATGTTCTGTCACTGAATTGTTTTTTTTTCCTTTTTTGGCTAGCACTTATGTTACCAAGGTCACAGATGATAGATATGCTAACTCTCTAATTATCTTATGCCTACCTCCTTTCCAGTTTTACTGTTCTGTTATCTCAGTCCCACTTTCATGGAAGGACAGCCTATTCCTATAAGCCTTGTATCATTATTTATTTTCTGTAATTCTGGGACTCCCAGGTGAATAAGAGAGCAACAGAGATAGCCAAACAATTAATTAAGATCTGCTAATGATATAAGATTTGGGCATAGATAGATAAAGAATTGGAGGTTTTCACCACAAAGGATTCAATGAAGCGAATGAACATAACTAAGTCATCAGTGAACTTGTAAAAACTGCATAATTTATCAAAACGTATGTTTATCTCATGCAATCCATCAGACAGCACAGCAAAGTGTAAACTATAAAACATTTAGAAAAATGGCTACTCACTGAAGGGTAGGCACAATCCCAGAAGGGTGCTTCTTTAGATCCACTGGTTGGCTCCCTTCCAATCCGTGTTCAGCCATTCCTATATGATATTATATTTACTTCAAGCGATAGACCTCAAACAGGAAGCTTATCTACAAGCCACACTATTTCAGACTATTTAGTGCTGATTACTTTTTTCTACAATTAATATTAGGAATCAAAGCAAACTTTAATTTAAACTGATGGATTTAATTAAAATGTTAACGTTCTTATAATCTTAGTGGACTAGTGGTGGGCCTCACAATGAATAAGGCCTTAAAAATTTAGTTAACTTGGTTAACCTAAATCCCTCATTTCCCTTAGCTACTAGTCCATCTCTTGTTTATCCATACGACTTAATTGCCACATCATTTGCGTTAGATCTGCAGGGTCAATATCAATCTCTTCCCCCTGACGTGTTAAGACTACTGCTACACATCATTTGGTTTGGTCAGGGTTTATTCAAGAAAAAGTGAAACATTAATGAACGGTTTAACAATAATTCCATGTCTAACAATCAATTTGATCCACCAAGAAACTATACATTTAAGTTTGTGTGCCTAATGTTGTCAAGAAGTAACTCCATGCCTAATAATTCCATGTCATATGTGTTTGTGTGTGTGATTATATGTGTGGCTACACGTCTCTGCAACACCTTTGCTTGAATAAGTGGTAAGAAATATATCACAAATTAATTTTCTCTCTCATTCGATTCAAACAAGATTTGCTAATGAGGATTGAATTGGAAGGTTGCACATCATTGGCACGCACGCATGCATATATAACACTACGAACGATTCATTTGTCTGCAATTTAAACCTTTGAAAACTAGGGAAACAAGAACCAGAAAGATGAATAAATCTTTTAAATGAAAATGAGAATAAGAAAAGAAACCAGAAAGTGCAAATTCAATGGATTATGCTCCCAAAGAGCCAGTTTTCTTCCTCTTCTATTACATGACTAAGTATGCGGTAAGGGAGAAGGCTAACAATAATTGACTACACATAATATCAGGGATTTTTCTCGTTGAGTTTTTCTCATACGAAAAGCTCGAGATAGCAATGTACAGTAAATGTCAACTTAAACGCGCAAAAATTTTGCAGCTAATCCAAGAAACAAAAAGATCCATCTCATACAGCATCAAATATCCTCAGAGAAAACGATCCACTGACACCGGAAGCGGGAACGATAGAAGAGAAAAATAAGACATTGGGGATCAATTGCTCCGTTTGGCAGACAAGAAAATAGACTTTTCATTTTAAAAAAAGAGAGAGTAAAGGAAAACAAAAGAAAACAGAAGAAAAGGGATGAAAGATCGAAGCCTTGTGTACATTGATACAATCAGAAAACCAAGTCCATCAAAATTTTGGAATCCGCGACACCCACATGACAATGGGAGCAAAATTACCGTTCGAAAATGAAATATTTGCAGCAAGACACAGGTTCAACGACGGCGGCAGATATTGGCGTCAAGAGCGAGAGACAAGACAGGTCTGATGCTCGCGAAAAGGGGCGACAAAGCTGCGCGGATGGGCTGAGATTGGGGATTGAGTGAGTTGGCTTTTATAGAAGATAGGGTCAAAATAATGAATAATAAATAAATAAAATTTAATCATCCCGCATTTTATATCCGCGGGAATTGAATGGCTTGGCGGGCTGATGGGATTGGATGAATCTAGATCCTTGCTTTCCGGCAGCACCGCGGACGTGGTCAGGTGAACGATTGAGATTTAGGTTTAGATAATGCAGATTTACGGTAAACATTGTAAACTAATTTTTTGGGTCCAACGGAGTTTTTTTCAAAAAAATACTTTTTAAAACGTTGAATAAACTAGATTTTGACCCGTGCTACTAATTTATAAATATTGTTAAAACTTATTTGAAATATTTTTTGAATATTTATAAGGATCTTTTATCATTCTACGAGTAGGAATAAAATAAAAAAATGAAAATTTTAAAATAATTTATTTTTGTTTACCTATAATATGTTACTTTGATTTAAATTTAAATAAAAATTTATTCAAAGGTAACAATTTAAAAGATAAAAATAAAAAATAATTTATTTTTGTATAATTAAAATAACTTATTTTCTTAATTTACATAAATTAAAATTTAAATAATAATTTATTTTATAATAAAAATTGGTTTGACTATACATATTAATTATGATATTATTAGAAGTAAAATTAAAAATTATTATGATATTGTCTTAGACACTATAAAAAATATAATCAACTTATGATAGGTCTTTTACCTATCATTTTTACTATAAGTCATACATAATCTTTCAATGTGCAATTTTTTAAAAAAAATAAGCCAATATTTATTCTCTATAAGTTTATTTTATTTTATAATTTATTATCATGTATGTTTTAAAAATAAAATTTAAAAATATTTTATGCAAAATTCGTTATTTCTTGTGATTTAAGATTTTAAATAATTAAAATTATCCATCAAATTATACACATATTTTTTGATAATTTGTATAAATTAAATTTGTAATTTTATTTGCAATAAAACATTATTTTTTATGATTTATTATTTAAATTTAAATTTTATAATACAAGTAATTACTCTTATATACACACACACAAAAAATACAAGTAATAAATGATATGTAGAGTTCTTACATTTACCAAAAATATTATGCCTTGTATTATTTTTTTATTATGAATCTCATATTTACAAATATTTTTATTATGGTCCCATACTTATTTTTATCCCCGCATGAGAAATTGTTTTTTTTTTTGGATGACCCGTGTTGGATTTTAGTTTACAAGAATTATCTTTTAAACAAATATATGGATGAAATTTTTTTTGGATCCCCATTAGATTTTAGTTTACAATTTTTTTAAAAAATATATATGGTTATTGTTTAGGATTAATGCACAATTTAGATTTTGAACTATAAGTTCAAGAGAAATTTAAACCCTAAATTTTAAAAAGGAGCATTTTGAATCTTAAACAATTAAAATTAAGATAATTTTACTTCTACCATTAATTTTTAATAAACATTCATCAAGTTTATTTGAAAAAAATTGCACTTTAAACTCTAATTTGACTAACATTTGTTAAAAGTTAACAATAAAGTTAAAATTATTCCAACTTTAATTATTTAAAATTTAGAATGCATCTTTTTAAAAATATAGTATTCAAATTGCTCCTAGACTTATAGTTCAAGGTTTAAATTGTATATTAATCATTTAGTTTTTTAAAAAATGCATCATAATCAATAATAATTCAGTAACGAAAAAAAGTACGTTTTGTATATTATATCAAGTTTTAAAAAGTTTTTGAAAGAATGCGTAAGTTTTTTAGTTTGAATTGATCAATGAAGGTAAAAATTATAAACCATAACTAAATGCTTTTATGATAAATAAAGAGGCAGAGAAAAAAATATATGAAAAATAATCTATGTTACATTTTTTCCTAACAAAGAATGATAATATATTTTTTATCAATATTATTATGAGATTTCATTACGTCAAAAAACAAATAAGAAAAAAATATGAAAGCATGCTTATAACGAAAGATTATATTATGCTCCTATTATTGTTATTGATAGCCCGTCAAAACCCTATCCAACAAGAATAAAAATAGTCAGCTTGACATATTCTCATTCATACCCATCATAATTTCTATCAAAAACTACTTTATTCATTATTATAATTTATAGCTTTTTTTATATAATTTCATCATCATTATCACCACCATCATTATTATTTACCTTTTGTATTCTTTCTTCTCATATTCCAGGAAATTTGTAATATTATTACGGGTTAATATATAATTTAAACTTTAAATTATAGGTTCAGGGATAATATGAATCATAAACTTTTATAAAAGTGTATTCTGTACACTAAACAATTAAAATTAAGGTAATTTTATTCTTACCATTAACTTTTAATAAATCTATCAAATTAGGGCTAGAAGTGCAATTGTCTTTAAATAAATTTGACGAACCTTTTGTTAAAAGTTAACTATACAGCTAAAAGGTTATTCTTTGAGTCCACCAGCATATCAAGTTTATTGAAGAAACCCATAAAACTCTATCGAGAAATTGGGATATCACTGTTCGGCATATAAATTGAGAGAGAAATATAGTGGCAAATCACTTTGCAGAGCTCACATTGCGTAGCTCACCTGGGTTTCATAGGACTTTTACTCCGTCCTCCGATGTCCTCTGATGTTTTATACTCATTGCTTGTTGCTTCTAATAATCTGAATCAACCTCAAGCTGGCTGTGTCGTTTGGTATAAAAAAGAATTATTTGGATTCAATGATACATTACCTGTTCCAAGTTGAATCCTTTATGAAATGGTCGCTCAAAAATGTATAAACTATACATTCCCTTTATTTTTTTTATAAAACATATTCCCTTTATTTTGTTTATTAAACAAACTTTTATTTTTAGCTTGTTTTCATATAAGTAAAATTATATTTTTCAATAGATATTTATTACAAATTTTTTAAATTATCACCCCTTATAATTTTATTATTCACATTCATAAAAAATAACTAATAAAAACTTAATTATTATAATTAATAAAAAGTATTACAATTTAATTCTTTAGTTTTCCAACACTAACTAATTTTATTGTGTGATGTAATTTATTTTCGCCTTTACAAATTGCATTATCTACAGTGACACTCGTGAAAATCTAACAAAGTCAAAATCCCACCGAAATTAGTGCAATGACCATGAGGCGAGTGCGAAGAGCCCCAAAGATTCCGAGTTTCAAGGAGATATTCGTCATTCCAATAAGTAGCTTCTTTAACACCTGGCAATTACCAACAAATAGCAATCATACGTGGGACCCTTCTCTCTTTCTGATCACTGACCCTTACGAAAGGACCAGAGGAAAATTCAAATCGAGTTTTCAGTACATCACCATCTCAGGATCCGATTTCAATCATCACGTGGACATCCAACCCGGAAAAGTAAACGGGTCCTGTCAGAGGACGCCACATCAATTCAAAAAACGAAGGGAAGCGTCACGGTGCCAACATGCCACAACCTGCACGGACAAATCACGTTCTTCCACGTGTCCAGAACTTTTACGAGTTCGCAGCCTTTCTTACTTACTACGTGGGAAGTCTCTCTTGTGCTCGTCAGAATCTTACTCAAATTCCCTCGTTCCGTCACTCGCTCTTCGCTCTTGCCGTCCCCGGATCCCGGTGGAGCGTTCCAAGATTCGAAGTCAAAGCGAGGATTGACTATTGAGAATTCTGGAAAAAGATTATGCGGATACAATGGGGAATTCGAATATCGATTTCTAGCTCGTTACTCCGCAGAAATATCCCCGGGCAATGGAGCTTGGAATCGCCGGTTATGTGATCCGGCGGTTCTGATATTGATCATGACCGATCGGGTCACTTGGCTAAGATTGATCTCGCGGAAGCGGAGAATTTATATGAAGCTTCCGGTTTTATGAAATATCCCGTTGGTGTTTTCTTGTTTTACAATATCGGATAGATATTTGTTGAAATTTTTGGCTTTTGTTTTCGGCACTTCTTTGTGTTGCAAAAGTGTGAGCTTCATCCTCATCTCTGGTTGGAAGGATGTCGTCAAAAGTCGTGTATGAAGGTTGGATGGTACGGTATGGCCGAAGAAAGATCGGCCGATCGTTCATCCACATGAGGTACTTCGTGCTTGAGCCCCGTCTTCTCGCGTACTACAAGAGAAAACCACAGGATAACCGGGTTAGTTCACCATTTTGCTGACAGTTCGTTCTTCGAATTTTTAGTTGTTATGTTAATTTTGCTGAAGTTTCGGTTTATGGTGCTTTCTTAACTCTTTTTCGGGATTTTCACGTAAGAAATGACATCTTGTTAGAATCTTTTCATATATTTGCGTAGATAGAAAATGGGTCCTTTTTTTTCTTTTGCCTTTTGTTTTTAGATTTAATTTTAAGAACATAATGATGGTTTTGCCTTTCAACTGTTCGAAATTATACTTTCAAAACGTTCTTCTTCTTCTTCTTGGAGAATTTCTAATTGTTCTCTTGTCAACTTTACTGGGACGCGGTTGTTGGAGAAGCTGGCCACAATGTTAGCGACTAATTCTTCGTCTCTGATTTATTAGGTTCCAATCAAAACACTGTTGATTGACGGTAATTGTAGAGTGGAGGATAGAGGCTTGAAGGCTCATCATGGACACGTGAGTTCACGAAACTTTTTTAATATTTTCCTTTTTGGTATAAATACATGCTGTAGAAGGAGCCTGATGGCCTCAAAGTGTTAGTGGACGCCTGGATGGCGTATCTCCAAAATTAATTGTTTGCTTTGCATGATTTTATACTTGTCCTACGGTTCTTGTATTTCTATAGTGAGTATAATGCTGTTGGGAAATAAAAATGTGCGAAATGGAAAACTAGAACGTTGTGGAAATTGTATGAAGGCGTATGTGATGTAAAGTGCATGCTAGGATAATGACTAAAATATTAAATGGTATGCAGGAAGGTAACGGAGAAATATGATCTTCAACATAAGATGAAGTTCTGAGTAGAGAACTTTGGCTGACATGGTTAACTCACAGAATCTGTTATCTCAGACAAATTACAATTTCATCTTAGATTAAAGAAA